TGTAATGCACAAATGAATAAAACTCATTCTAAAAAACGATCATAATAAAGAAAAACAAATATATGTCTACGTCTGTCTGGGTGTTTTATTTTGTTTCGAAGAAGAAAAAGAATGTTCCTATATTTACAGAAAATTAGTATGTTGCCCGGTATTTTTTGTCTAAGAGGTAAAATTAAAATTTTGCCCTACTGTTTAGTGGCTCACTCTCATACTGTTGAAAATCAGCTAGAATTTAAAAACTCAGAATTCAACACACCTCCAGTTAAGAATGTTGTGAATGACTTTCGCTTTTCCAGCTGACCTCAGATGAACGCTGTAGAACTATTTCACTATTTCAGTTCAGATTCTTCATTTTCCACTCGTTACCAATACTTAACATACTACGCCTAAAGAATATTCAAATCTGACTATTCGACATAAAAGAGTATCTGATTGTCTGCCTCTCTGCTTCATAAGAAAGACAGACCATACTTCGAGAATATTCAAATCTGAATATTTGGCAAATAAAATTATCTGATTGCCTGATTCTCTACTTCATAAGCAAAACTGTCTATACTTAGAGAATATTCAAATCCAAATATTTTGCTTCTCTACTTCATAAGAAAGACAGACCATACTTCAAGAATATTCCAATCTGAATATTCAACATATAAGATTATCTGACGGTCAGATTCTCTGCTCCGCAAGAGACACATACCATACATAGTAAATATTCTTATATCAGTATGAAAAACATTGGAATACTGGAAAAAATCTAAACATGTAAACTATTTAGATTTGACATCAACTGAATTTAACATATCATTATAACAGCGTTAAATTTTTGAGCGCTTTGTATGTGGAAGTTAAATATATATCATTTAAAGTCCATAGAAATGTGCATACACGGCTTAGACAACGTCGAAGACGTTCAACTCTGACTTCAATGTGAGAATTTTGTCACGATTGAAATACGAAGCACATTTTATTTATATATTCGTTTTTTAAGTGTAAAATAAAAGCTTGTTATATTAATAAAACGTTTTTCTTGAATTGTATTATTCGTATTAATATACTAATCTATGAATAATGTTATCACCAAATATAAAAAAGAAAGCGTCCCATTATCCAGAAACAAGAGCCGTACAAAAAAAGAGGTAAGTAGAAGAAAATACAGTGTGTGCATTATACAAATCTAAAAAACTTTGGTATGACAATTTTACACGAAAAACAATAAAAATTCATGTTAATTAACTGATTATTAACGTAACAGAGCGTATCTGTGTTAACAACTAGTCGATAAGCAGGTATTTACAACACTATCCACATTTAAAAACTTCGCAAAAGATCGCCCTAGTGAATGTACTTTTGTACAAGTACTCAGACAAGTACTTGTGAAAATAATGTCCAGAGTACCTGGAATTTTTTGCAAGTAAAAAAGGTACTTATAAGTAATTTAACAAATATAAGTACTTCATCAAGTATTTGGCAGGTAACTTGGTAAGTACTTACGAAATATATGCAAGTATCCGAAGTTCTTCCAAGTACTTGGCACGTATTAAATCTAAAAATGCTTGAGAAGTGTTTAACCAAGTACTTCAGAAAATTTGAAAATAGTTAAGTACTTATCTCAAGTACATTCACTAAGGCGATTGTACACTATAAAAATACTAATTTCCGTTCGTTAAGAGTAGTACTTTCTGTAAGAGTATGATAATTAAAATCATTCATTAAAAAGAATACATGTAATCAAACTGTGCTCCTTAGCTTAGAGAAAAAACATTGGCCAAGAAAACTAATATCACTGGGTTTGATTCTCGATCGAGATCCATATTTTTCTTATCAATGTTTGTTTGGCAAATGTTGCAATGTAGTATCTGTATTTATCATGTATAAATTGAATGTTCAACATTATGATGATTCCCTTCTGTGAACGATGAATGTTCAACGTTACTGTGACTTCCTTCTGTGAATGCTGAACGTTCAAGGTTACGGTGACTCCCTTCTGTGAATTCTGAACGTTCAGCGTTACGGTGACTCTCTTCTGTGAATGTGATAGCGGAATTTACTTCTGATTGTCGAAACGTTGTTTCGGTAACATTAGCACCACTAACGACTATATTGTTTGTGTCTACTAGTACTTCTCTTGGTTTTGCCGTTTCCCGAATAACAATACGATTTCGATCTTCACCTGACCAAATGTTAACTGCATTATTCAGTGTACCTTAAAGAAAAATAGAATTTTAAATATTTAGTCACTTCTAATTGTACAATTAAAAACCAAGACTGACTTCAAGAGAAAAAATGATATTGTCAGAGAAGTTTTATCTTTCCATCTGTTGCATATATGACAGTCCGCTAGTCAAATTCAGGTGAGAGTCTTACAAAAACGACTATTTAATAATTAACATAAACACACAGCTAGACTATAGATCATTTTTTGAATGATTAATCACTCAATAAAAGTATTTATACCATTTTTAGAATGCATTCTTTCAAAGAATTTTTTTTGTGTTGTCTTATTATTTTGTTTGTTACTATCTGAAAAGAAAAAAAAAAAGAAAAAATAGGCACAAGCGACAAATCATTATAAGGTGCAATAAAATGATTATTAACATTTAAAGAAATTATACGTACAATCACCTTGAAAATTTAAATTATTAATATCATTATTATTTTACCAAAGAAATTTTGAAGCAGCGGTCTTATATAAAAAAGTTTCTATAGATAAGAATTTTTGAGCTGAATAAATGCATGGGCATATTTCTTTTCAATGAAAAGAATAATTGTATGGCATTTCTATCGCTTACCTAAAATTGTAATTAACTCTTCACTAGGAACGACTTGTTCATAACGTTCAATAACTTGGGTTTCTGAAAAATATAGTTATTAAATCAACGTCTAGTGTAGATTTATTATATACTCACCACTCATACACAATGGTCTCCTCTTCTTTGGAATATTAAGCTCATCTGTGGACGTCGTAGCATCTTTATTATGGATAATACGTGCTATTAAATTTAAAACAGTTATATATAGTAATTTTCGAATTAAAAAAATAGTTTTTGGTAATAATATTCTACCTGACACAATTTAGTTGCCTGATATCGTCACTTCATATCTTTTTACCTGTACTGATGACTGACTTGATATTTACTGGTATATTTTACTATTTCTACGAATCAGTTCGAATTATAAAGTTCGAAATATCGAAGATTTATTCTTTTGACGACTCAGTTTTCGAAAGCAAACATTTCCCTTGAAAATGATGTATGGCAGCATTCTTCACATGTTTCTGTACTTCAGACTTAATAGCTAAATAGCGTGTATTGCACGCCTACTAATGATTATGTGATTTCCAGTGTCAAATGTCTAGAATTTAAACTCATTCCCTGAGACCTTACAATATTACTTCATCAATAGCACAATATTTTCTCAAAAACAAAGAATCTGTCATTAGATCTTCTACCTGGTGGATGTACATTGTCACACGATGAAGGTCTTCGTGATTTTCGAATTTTTAATTCTCGAACTTCGTTAACACAGGGGGGTTGACGTGGAGGCATTTGTTCTTCAATTGTGATAGTTTCTAAAATGTTATTAAATCATCTTTTGTTGTTGTATGAAACTTTGTGTTATGAGAAATTTTACCTATTTTTTCGACGAGCGTTCCACGTTCATCATACAGTCGTGGATGTGGATAAAATGGAATTTTCTCGACAAGCGTCCCATATTCACGATATGGTTGTGGATAATATGGAATTTCCTCGACGAACATTCCATATCCATAATACGGTTGTGTATAATATGTTGGTGGACGGACATATTCTATATCTAAAATTGTTTCATGTAAACATTACTATTTGCTACGGTGCAAGTCACAAGATGGTCTTTTATAACAAGAAAAGCAAAATGTTATTAACTTAAAATTTTTTATCATGATTTTTAGTGACAAGATATGAATGAATCTATTACACTTACTGTAGACTTCTCTGTTATATCTTCTTCCAGATGATCTACTTCTATTATGACAACGAATAGGATTCTGATTAATGGTATACTGGTAAGAATCTTGTAATGTATCAAACGGACTTAATGGTTCAGTTAGTGCTACGGATAATGGTCGTCCATGATGGGAATAATACTTCCAATAACTACCCATAGTCTACAAGAATAAGCGGTGAGATTAATATTCACATAGATTCAAACATATTTAATTAGAATACTTAACGATAATAGAAGTTTGCAAAGAGATTTTTAATATTTATTATTCTACTACTATACATATGTTTGTCAAGATAACGTGCAAGTTTAAACCGCAGTTAAACGAGAGAAGAAAAACTTTGCCGAACACTTTTTTTCTTCATTCCGGATGGAACTAAAAAAACACGTAATAATTTTTATGAAAAAAAAAAATGAACGCATGGTTACTGTTTTCTACGCACATAGTCTTTCATTAGACTCTTTTTTAAAAAACTTCTATCTATACGGAGCGGGTAGTTTTTGTCTGTTAACAAAAAAAAAATCTTCTCTAATATATTGAAAACATTTAGCATGGAATAAAAAGAAGAAAACGAGTAAATATGACAAATAAATGTAAAATAAACAATACACAGGAACATCTATATTGGTCATTTTTCCTCTTTTTTTCTTTTCTGTAAATGTCTTTATTTCTACCTGATTAAACTCGGAATAGGAAATAGATCGTCCTCATAATGCTCTACAAATTTTATTTTTTAAAGAATTTAGTCATGTTTAATATAGCATGTACAAGACTAAATGCGCTAGACACGTAGAAAAGAAACTTTCTCTCTCTCTTTCTATAACTAAGTCAAGACAAAGATCTCTTTTTTTTTCACTTTTTTCAAAGAAAAAGACAAAAAGTGCTGTGAACGTGTTTAAATCACAAGTTAAACGATAGTAAGAGAAAATACTAAATGACGCCTGCTAACATTAATTTTTAATAGAAATCCAGTAAAAATTTTCTTCTTCAAAAGTTAGAGTCCAGCAGATGTTGTTTATGAGTGTTCGATGACTGGTTGTTATTGCATTTGATGATATTCTTCGTTTAGATCATAGCTTAAATCAAACCTTACATCCTTCAAGTTTGAAGATATTCTGTGCATTGTCTAGTGGCTTAGCCACCGGGTGGGCTCAGCCCACCTACTAAAAGTTTTATAATTCACACTAGTCTGCTCTAATGTCTACCACTTTGAAAAAATTTGGGACAACGCCCACCCACTAATAAAATCCTGACTACGTCGTAATTTCGCCTTTACCAATTTTTTCTGTTGACCTTGATGATTGTTTTCTGTATGTCAGTAGTCATGTACACACTAATTATATTTCACCAGTTAAGAATTTTGATTAACCATTTCCCTAGCATCCCACCAGGGATACCTTTTTCGACGCCCCCACCTTTGATGTTTAAAATGTGGCAAGGTGCGTTTTGGAAAATTTTGCTTAAGGTTGTCTACCAGTATAGGACATGGTATTTGAATATCCGGGTGCCAGTGAAAAGGTTAACTAATTCTTATTTTTTAATGGTTTTTATTCTCTATACGCTGTCATGTACGATTTAATGAACTATTCTCATTCTTTTTACTTTGTTGTTTGATCTTGTGAGTTACTGACACCTAGTTCAATCAGGATTTAATTAGTAAAAAAATATAGTAATCGAACGAAATTTATTATCACAGTTGTGTGAAATAGTAGTCTACATGAGATGAGAAGGTGAAACTTACCTTTAGTTATTAAAATAATTCAATATCCTACGTTAGTCATTGACCGTCCGTTAAACATTATCAATTTCTTTTCTCTTCTGTATGTATGTTTACCAGTTTTTGTGTTTCTCTTCCTTTAGGGGGTAAGTATTGTTTACCATGAAAAACTCTTAATCTCACATTATTATTTTTTTACTTTTATTTTACTTCTTTTTTTGCGTTCATCTACATATATTTTTTCATACCTTTTCTATGTACTCAAAACAATAATTTCTGCTATAAAAAACAAGAAGAGAAAAAAAATGACACTATAGTAGTGCATCGTTTCAGGTGTAGGCGAGTGCGTGTAGGGCTTTACAGCTAATTCATGATATTAAACATTAAAAAAAAGTTTATTAAAACGATATTTGCAACTACTACTTGTTAATGTTTACTACTTTCTTTTCTGACGTCTGCATACGTTTTGCTTTATTTGCAAAAAATATCGCATTCTTTTTTTTTTTTGATGAAGTGATCAAAGGAAAACGATAGGAATTTAAAAATAAGCATATAAAAATTGAAAAATAACGATAACAACAAGGTCTTTTTGGCCGTGAAGACTGAATTTCTCTTGTTGTTGTTATTATTATTTGTGCTAGAAAAATAATAAAAGTTTAGATTACTCTCACTTGATTATAACAAAAAAAATCCTAAGAGAAATAAATTATTATTATAAATTCAAGGTTTTTAGTTCAATTTATTCACAGTCGTGTTTTGGTAAATAAAGTGCATAATTTACCCTTGGCAAGACTGTAATGTCGTAATACTTTGGTATTTTGTTTCTGTCTCATATTAAGATGATTTTTAGTTAATAATGAAATAGAAATAGCAGTCGATCAATGTAAATGAAAAAAACAGCATCATGTGATAGATGGCAATGATTAAAATAATTATATAAAACACCTTCAACCACATTACTATTTAAAACTCGCAGCAAAACAATCAAATTTGACAAGATTTAATTTTAATTGATAAGGCGAAAAAGTCTAGAAAAACAGCGCTCAAGAGAAAAAACATTTGTTCAATATATAGAAGTAAGGCGCCGGACATTCAGAATTTCAGCAAAATTTATTTTTGCGATATTTATACATAGTTTGATAGAGCTCTTCGAACTGAATCAGAATATGTGGTTTTTATGTTTATCATCCCGAAAAAAAATTTTCGAATGTGAAAATTTAAAAAAACTGAAATTTTTATACTTTGAAAAAATGACATAATGTTAAAGGTACCCCCCGCCTCCCTTTTTTTTGCAGAAAAGTTGCCATTTTGAGCTGAACATACTCTAATGGAGAGGAACGTCTGGACTGTAAAATGAGACCACTTCCAGGTGTCCATGACCTTCCTTGAGAAAATTATGAAATTTTTAAGTTTTTCTTCAAAGCCTAGGTTCATAAATTTTTCTCTCCTTTCCTATATATTCAAAATTTTTTCTTATATATAGCATGATAGAAGAAAGTGTACTCTTCAAATAAGATGTTTTCCAGAATTTGCCGATAAGTTTTCTTAGAGATATAAGTAGAGGTCTGCGGGACAGTCCCAGTCCCGGTCCCGCGGGACTTTTTACGGGACCGGAACCCAGAAAAATCTTTTTTACGTGATCGGGACCGGGACCGGGATATAGAGGTCTGCGGGACGGTCCCAGTCCTGCGGGATTGTCCCAGTCCTGTGGAACTTTTAATAGGACCAGGACCAGGTTTTTTTGAAAATAGTCTTGTATGAAGTATAAAAATTTCTTAGTTTCTGTGCCTGTTTGTATGTAGGCAGTAGTTCTGCGAGAAAGAATTCACACATAATTCGAAAAGTCCTCAGTTAA